GGCACTGCGAAGATACTTAGTAGTTGAGCACTGCAGGGATACTTTGCGGTTGGGAAGTGCAGGGATACTCTGTGGTTGGGCACTGCAGGGATACTTGGTGGTTGGGCACTGCAGGGATACTCATTGGTTGGGCACTGCAGGGATACTTGGTGGTTGGTCACTAAAGTCAGCTAACAGCCCCACTGCGAGGGTGGGGAATAAGGGAGCCCAGGCTTGTGCGTGGGCATCAGGGCACGGGGGTAGGGCTTCGAGGTAAGTATTGTGAGAGGTGCCAATGCCTCGACACCCCAGGCATTTAGCTAGTCTTTCCTGTGGTGGGGTTCACAGGATCTTGAGAGCCCTGGACAGAGAGGACCATCGAATCATGTATGTGTGATGATATCCCCAGCTGTGGTTGCTGCATATAGACAGTAATCCTCTCATAGACAAGTACAGTTGTAGGAAGTTGCCTCGAAGCAGGCATTGCAGTCATTGTCAGCGAGTAAGCCTCAAGATCATTGCTACTACTAATTGGATTTGACGTTGCTTCGTTATGTAGCTCGACACGCTACAGGGTGTAGGGCATGAATCGATTGTGTCAGGCTGTTGCCGACCTGCTACACTCGTCCACCGACCCGCAGGCGGCAAAACAGAGCCACAAGGACTCGCCTGAATGAGGGATGTTGGTCCTTAGAAAAGTTGATGTTCTTGGTCTGCGCAAGGTCCTTGCGGATTGGATGCCCTAAGGCGACTTTGGGGTGGGGGAATGGAGGAGACAAGTTCAGGCTCCAAACACCGGTGTCTGACCACTAGAGAGGCCCTAACTCTCCTGTCACCAGGTATAGATGTCAAATAACCGAGGCCAGGCCTACGGTGAACTTCATGTGTCAGGAGGGGTAGGTTAGAACAGGTAATCCTTTAGATGCCATTACAACATCATAGGGCACCCAAAGCTACCCTAGGTCTTGTGCTTGGAGGATTGGCGTACCGATGCTTGGTACCAGGACGGTGCGATGCTGATGTCGTCAGAGAAGCAACGTTTCGCAAAGCATAATTGGGTATTGGTCTAAATTCCCTATAATACGGGGTCCTATATTTGGGTTCCCTTTAAAATACGGGGCCCCATATAAGTTTCCCCCATTTTGGGAACAGTAATTTAGGGAAACTACTAATCAGTCACCTGCATCAGGCCTTACTCCAACTTCAACATGAGCTATAGTCTAAACTCCTTAAAGGGGGGTTATACAGGGGATTATATAGGGGACTACTATAAGGCTTATTAAGGGGGATACTAGGAGTTTAGAAAATGGCTCACATAGCAGTCCCTGTCCGCAAACCGTTTCACCGTATCTGATCCCTCTTATACCCTAGTCCAGGCCAGTCCCCAAAAAGTGCGCTGAAATCCCAGCCCCTGAAAACTGCATCTCAGCTAGCTGTTGACCCCAGGTAATATGACGATCCCTGCTCCCAAAACGAATTCGAAATAACTTTGCTTAGTGAATGCCGGGTCCTGCTGCCTTTAGCTTCTGTTCACATATCACACATAGACTCACAACAAGCTTTCGTACCCAAGAAACGACGCATGTGGCCTTGCTTCGCAAAGACAGGGGTGGTCAGCAGGACAGACGCAAGCAGCGTGCTGCGAGCAAAGGGCCAAGATTGCAAAAAGGAGCAAAGAAGGCCGGGCATTTCGAGCATCAGTAAGCAGTAAGAGCCTTAACATTGTATATGCGGTTGTCACACAGCAGTGGCTTGTCTAGAGGTGTGTTGCATTAGTTTGCGCAGACCGAGTAGCAACGATGGTAGGGTGCCCAAGTACCTCCCGCCTTGAAAGGCAGTGATGAAAGCAGTTGCTGCCCTCGACGGCAAAGCCACGATAAGGCAAGTCAAAGCATATATGCGAAAGCATCCCCACATAGCGGACCCTTCCAGCATGGAGCGCAGCATTCACTCCTTGAGAATTGACAAGTATTGCGAACGGATTGGGCAGAATCAAGATGGAGAGGATGTGTATGCTGCACCCACTGAGCCGAATCCCAAGGGCGTCCGACGTGACAAGAGAGGCTTCCACGCAAAGATGAACCTTTCAAAGGCCGAAGCCACTTGCCTCGGGCCATTGCGGGCAAAGGCTGAGGACGCAAAGAAGGACTATGACCGGCTGCGTGCGTGGCGCGCGACCATGACACTGTACCCATTCAGGATTCTTTTTTGTTCAAGTTCTGATGGTTTTTTCACCGAAGAAGTGGAGCAGATGCCGTGTTACTGTTTCTGACTTGCACCTAGTGCAGCCTAGGCCACATGATGAAGTGGTTGCGCATGTACGCGCATGGAATGGAGCACATGTGACCAAGTATTCGAACTCTCGCATCGCTCCTCGCAAAAGGGTCTGATGCAACCGCTGTAGATTGATTACATAAAGCTGTTTGGATGCATGGGGTTATCAGCCGCTCCTCATCACGCTGCGAACCACTTTACCCGGCATGTACCCAGACCCTCCATCTACCCTCTATATACCCGAAATACCCTCTATTTGGCACCATATACGCCTATTAAGCACAAGGAGGGTCCTGGCAGGATATTTCACTTTCAAGGTCAGCCATAAATGGCGTTTAAGTTGAGGTCACCATTTCGAAGGGGACTCTGAGTTACTACCGCGCAGGCGGTTATTACAGTGGTGCTAGGCCTACAAGAAAAGACTGCTTCTTGGTCTGTAATACGGATTGCTTGTATCCTCTGCTGGCTACCCGTTTATGACATGGGAGCGTGTCCAAAACATTTCCAAACAATCCCTACAGAATCCTTAGCAGGGACCGCCGTCACAAACCCAATGCATCAGTGAAGGGGCCGCCCGTTTCAGGCTCGCGTGCGTGTTCAGAGCTAAACGGACTAGGGTTGATCAGAGTGCTGGAACCTCAGTAGCCTAGGTAGGAAAGGCCCACGTTATAAGCGCGTGATATAGTAAGCTACCATGGCGCTGTTCATAAACACGCATACGTAGGTTGGAACAGGTTTTCTACAGCTTGGAGTCCGCCCCCTCACATTGGAATGGTCAGCAATTGTCATTGTTGTAGTGTCATATCAGTAGCAAGGGTCCTACATATGACGGTTACAGGACGATGCAGGACAGGCGTAGTATCCAACCAACAGCCTTTTTGGGGGGATGTTCGGCGGAAAGCTACTCAACACATTCATAGGTCCTACGTGTTCACCGTGCCTTAACACACTGCACACTTGGGTTAGGCCCCCTACGACTAAAATTCGTAACTAGGCACGTTTAGGGCACCCAATATGAGTACTGAATTATCCTTGTGGGCTCTCTTAGTGGGTTGGGGCCCAGCATACCGCCTCCTAAACCGTAAGCCCTGAACCCTGAACCCTAAGCCGCTTTGCCCAGGAGACCACAGTCAAGGAGATGCTGGTTATCCTGGACAAGATGTTCAGCTACAAGCCCCGGGGCTTTGAAATTCATAGGGTTTACGGTTTAGGGTTCATCATAGGCTGTGTGCGAGCCCAGATGCAAAAAGGGTTTATCATACATCCCCCCAAACCCCCAAACTGACATAGAACCCATATGAGCTAAAGTCTAAACTCCTTAAAGGGAGTCATATAGTGGATGATATAGGGGGCTACGATAGGGGTTATGAAGGGGATACTAGGAGTTTAGACTATGGCTCATGTGTGCCCCTCTGCAGGAACTGCAGGGGTTGAAGTGTCCTTTGAGGCCTCCATGTTAGTGTTGCAGAGGCCTGGTTGGTGCTAAGGTTCTTGGACGAACACTAACACTACACACCGCATCCTTGTGTTGTCCGTGTTAGTGATATTTTTACATTTTATTATTATTATTATTATCTATCGTCAGTGTTACTTTCCCTCGCATTATCCTGATTGTTATTCGTAGTATCTCAAGCATTAGACATTGAGATGCTTTATTGTTAGCTTTGTTGTCAGTATTTGTATCATCACCTTTATTCTCTCGTTCCGGTGCCCGTCGCTCCTCAATCAAGGTATACTTCAGGAGGATCCCGCCCTGTAATAGTGGTATAATGAGAATATAAGAGGAACCCAATATAATCCCTATTGTCCCTTATAGTCACTATTACTGATTGGGGGGTCCACCTAAGATATATTCCTGGAGGTTCAGGTGAGGGATGCCTCTTACAAACCCTAAGCCTTCAACCCTAAACCCTTGACCCTAAACCCTAGTGAAGGGGCATTGGTTCCTTTGGCTCCTTCGAAGCTTAACAAAGCAAAGAACGCTTGCAACTCAAACTTAACTGGTTTCAGCGATTAAGTTTGGAGCACATGATGCAGACTGCAAAAGCAACTACTGGTGAATTTAAGGATCCCAAAGCCACATGTAATTCCAGATGTATACAACTGCATATACAACATGGTAGAACCACTATGTGGAAGACTATGATTCTCACCACACGGGAATCTTCAAGCCTCTGTTTTCGTTGTGCTCTCAGTGGATGTCCCTTGCTGGCTACACAGCTGGAGCTCCTTCTTCTACGAAAGCAGGTCATGTGAGCAATAGTCTAAACTCCTTAAAGGGGGGTCATATAGGGGATTATATAGGGGACTACTAAAGGAGTTATTGAGGGGATACTTGGAGTTTAGACTATAGCTCATGCGGGTATTCGAAACTGAGGCTGCCTCTGCATTTTTGCACAGTTGTTGCGCAGCACGATTCACAATGTCCTACTTCAGCATGTCCTCCCACAGCCCTGACGTCTAAAGCTTCCCCTAAACCCTACCTGTAAACCTTAGACCCTTAACCGTGGCCCATGTACTGGACAGGAAGGGAACAAACCTCAAGGGCTTGTCTCCCGACGGCCGCGAGCTGGCACCTGAAACCCCTGTTCCAGCCTCCTGCATGCCTGTTAGCAATTTTGGGGTACGCTTTCAAGGGGTTTATGGGGGTCATATAGGGTTTAGGGTTTTTGTGTTTAGGGTTTTAGGGTGATTTTAGGCAGGGGGGGGCCTTTTTCTTATGAGTCATCTCGTTGCATACCTCATCCTACCTAGCCAGTTAGTAGCCTTTGGCCTTATCGGTTGATATAACCAACTAAACCCTGAACCCCGAACCCCTCATAAAAAAGTTGACCTTCGAAAAGTACCAGATACTGGACACCTAAGTCGTGCCCCTGAGTTTTGAAAACATAGACCGCAAAGGGCGGGATACCTGTTTTAGCGTTTAGGGCCTGCGGTGCGTATGTTGTTGCAGGGCAAGCCCAGGATGACATTTCAGAATTCCTACATAAGCTATTGCTACGGTGTAAACTCCTTAAAGCGGGCTATATAAGGGATTATATAGGGGACCATGATAGGGCTTTTTAAGNNGGGATCCTAGGAGTTTAGACTAGCTTGAATGACAGTTTCCTAGAGGAGCCTCGCAACATTCCCAAGAAGGCCCCTTTGATTCCCTGCGGTTCATTTTGTTTCACGGAAATTCTCAGAGGTACTGTTCCTAAACCCTAAACCCTAA